TGGGTTGCCTCCTAACAAGCACTTGATTTAACGTCGCGGCACGACGCGAATCACTTTTTGCCTCCACTTTGAAATTATGAATTGGACCCCAAGTTTTGATTCTGCTCTATGATCATGCTCCTGGGGTGGTGGAACGAATTTGACTGGCCCAATAAAACAATGTAGTATTCTGCACTTCTTGGCCTTTAGATGAGATGTGTATTCCCGACTTTCTGGCAAAAAGAATTCCAGAATGTAGGCATCTTGTTCCTTATTCCTTGACTCCTCAAGTGGCTTGGACGACTCTATTTCCATATCATCATCCAAACACAATGTGGAAAAATGCTTGGAGTGTGGACCAATGCGCTCAACTACATAAACATTGGGATTGTCAACATCCTCAACACTAATGACACTAGAGTCAACCAAATATCATCAATGTCCTTGGTTGACTCTAGTATCTCTTCTACAACATCGGCATCCTCATAATCTAGTTCGATTGATTGTTGGTGTTCTGCTCTGGCCTTCTCCACTAGCACCTCCTCGTATTTTTTTGTTAAATCCTCCATTATAATGGCAATTTCTGCAGCCAATTCATGCTCTTCTTGGCTACTATCCACAATGTAAGCTTGTTGCGCTTTACAAGGTTCAATTAGTTTATTCACTTGAGCCTCCAAGTGGTGAATAGTTGCCTCTTGCCTTTGTATCTACCGTGGTTTCTCATAATATTGTTCCACATGGCACTTAAACATATCTTTGAACTCTTTTAGGTCATCATCCTTGTGTTCTTTGTTCCTATTAACTTCACAAGAAAAAGAAGAACCATCAAAGTAAGGGGTTGGGGGAAGATAAGAAATATAAGCACAACCATGAAAGTGACCATCTTGATCACCACACCTATCACACACATTCTACACATAAGGTTGAGTTGGTGCACATAACTCGCTCTCGGGAATATTTTGATAATTTTGCCATGGGTGGCTTTCTTCACTATATGCATAAGGAGGATCAAAAATAGAATTACCAACATCAAAACTCTCATAATTTCAAGATGCCATGTCTCTCAAGTCAACAAAAAAAATTAAAAAAAGATCAAATACAAGAAAACAAAAATAAAAGTTCAAACTTGCAACCTAGAAATATGTACACCTACAGCTACACTGTTAGTTCCACGGCAACGGCGCCAAAATTTGATTACGCCCAACTATACCTTATAAAAAGGAATAAGCGGTCATTGCAAATATAATCCGGTTTACAAGTCCGGAGTCGAATCCCACATAGAGCTAAGGCTTAGCTACAGTTGTTTAATATCGTTAAGAAATACAAGTCCAAATAATTTCCCAATTATAAAGATTATAATATATATTTTTTATCTAATTAACTAACAAATACTAGAAATCAGTAAGTCTATCAATTAACAAGGATAAGGATTGAGACAAGACTAAGGAGGTCTAGAGTTATGATTTCCCCTATTGTCGGAATCCTTTCCGCTACGTTTTCTATAAATTTGCCTAAGTTTTCTCTACCGATCATGAGCGCTCTGAGTGTTGTACTTCTCTCCTGAGTAACTACCATAATTTACTAGACATATTCTTCCGAATTACACTAGCTGGCATTAAGTACGGCTCACTCGGATCGCACCAAGGTTTCGTTATCCCTAATCCCACCATTAAACCCTCTGTATTGATCCCTCATATACGTTAGGAGTGATGTTGTTCAACAACTACCTAAATATGCACTCTCTCCCAAGTAATACACACTAAATAGGCACAGTCGATTGAGAGCTCTTCAACCAACCACAATAATAACGTAGTTGAACAAACAGAGAAAATACTACAGCAAAACTATATTAACGTAACAGGAAAATCATCCTCCAATAGGTTCCATCAAAATCCTAGATAACAAATTAGCTATTCATAATAGTATGCATAACTACAATACTAGAATTCATAACCAATAATGGAAAATAGGAAGAAGGAAGTGAAAAACTCGTAGAAGAACTCTCCGCCTTGCTCCTAGTGTGTTCTTGCCTCCTTAGGTCGAATCTCCGACCTCAAATCTGTCCAATCTCTATTTGTCTCGACTGTCTCCCCTCAAAGTGGTGTTTTTAGGTCTATTTATATGTGTAGGAAAATACCTAAACGTGTAGGTCAAGTCCTAGTCAAACCATGAGAAGAAATAAATCTTCAAAACTCAGACTGGATCTCGCCCCAAGCCTGGCATCGCCAGCCTAACGCCAGCTTCAAGCCTGGCCTTTGCCTGGCCTCGCTAGCCTAACGCCAGCTTCAAGCCTGGCGTCGCCAGGGTCTCTCATTCACTGCTCCCACGCACACTTTCGACTTGTAGGTCTCCTTTTTCTTCTACTTTCATCTCCAATTCACCTACACATAAAATAGACTCCGTTACGCGAAAATAAAGTGTTATTTATCATTAAAGCATATAAAATGCAAGGCAAATAATGTACGAACTATGGAATTATGGCCACACATCATCTATCACTACCATAATCCTCCTCTCCTTCTTCAAATAACTCTACATGATCTGAATCTGAGCTATTCTCAGTACTAAAACCATCTTCAAATTCAGCAGGTTCAGATCGGCCAGTAGGTTCAGGAGGGGCAGTAGTTTCAGTCAAAATAGCACGGTATAGCCAGTTTTCGGACTGGTCATTCTAAAATAGCCAGCGTTTACCAAGTCAATAAAAAATAGCCACTATTTTGCTGCAACAGAGACCGGTCCAGCATAATATACTGGAGTTCGGTGCACCTGTGTATGAACTCCAGCATATTATGCTGCACCGATATACTTTGCTGGCTCCCGTATAATATACTGGAGACTGGAGCACCGGTGCTCCAAACTCCAGTATATTATGCTGGACCGGTATACTTGCTGGAACTCCAATACATTATGCTGGAGTTCTAGTGTACTTATGCTGGAACTCCATCATATTATGCTGGAGTTTCAGCATACTTATCCTGGAACTCCAGTATAATATGCTGGAGTTCAAGTATACTTATGCTAGAACTCCAGCATAATATACTGACATATTTTTTCGAGTTTTGAACAGTGTTTTCGCTCAGATTTATCTTTACATGAAAAGTGGCTAAATTTCGATTACTTTTGAAACTAGGCTATTTTTGAAAGACCAGTTGTAAATCTGGCTATTTTTGAATTTCACCCGTAGTTTCAAGGGGCAGTAGTTTCAGGGGGGGAGAGGGGGGGTGCAGTAGTATCAAAAGGAGCACTTAGTTCACCAGGAGCACTAGTGGATGCCTCTTCATATGTGCCCTAGCCCTCACTTCCCCCCAGGTCTTGACCAAATTCTAAGAGAGGGGGGACCACTACTGGTTCATCAACCATGTGCTACACAAATACATCCTAGATATCTCCATTTTTTAATACTTGACAAATACCCATAATGTCCCTATCCACTTTAATTTCTACCAAACGAGGACAATAAGGTGGCGTTACATAAATACGAGCAGAAGAAGGATTATAACCAAAGTCTTTAACATAACCTAGAAATTCAAAGTAGGAGAACATATCTACATCAACATCAAGTGCAGAAGTAATAACTCCACCTATATAATCCTCCTCCGTAAAGGAGTTTAGCTTATCCTTGGAGACTTTTCCTCCGTGGAAGAATCTTACTGTGACTAATTCAAAAGATATTTTAAACCCAAGATATATAACTATATCATACCAGTATCTACCAAATCAAACCACGTGCAACAATATATTCAGTACTATTACAGTAGTAGCGACGAAGAAAACCCCAGAGCTCAAAACAACATAAAGACGATGAACAACGCTAATCTTTAAAAAAACATATGTTCTGTCCAAAATCCAAATCGAAGAAAGATTGTAGAACCAACGACTGGTTACAGTGACTGAACCCCTTTCCTTGCAACTCGAACAAATCCAACAAATCGTCAAAACCCAAAATATCAGTGAAATATAACGACAATTTGAGGTTCTAACTAGGTTTAATAAAAGAAACATTCATCTTATCCCTTCAATTTTAATCGGGAAGAATGAATTTCAGACGGATTTGAGATTAGGGCTTTTTCGTCGACTTGAAATTTTTTTCAGGGTGGGTGAAATGAACTAATAAGGAAAATAGGTTGGGATAAATATTTGACTACAAATGATGTTCGTTTTAAACGTAAAAAATGGTTAAAATAATTAATTATAGTCAAACTAATAATACTCTCTTAAGTCTTCATTTAAATACGTGGTATCCCAGATGGCGTGTGTATGCTACACAACATAGAATTACTGGGAGATAGCTTACAAGAGTGCACAAAAAATCAGTCCTAACAAATATAGGGTGGTATTGAAACACCCGTAAAGGTTGAGTAGGAAACTCATTTATCGGGACAAACTCAGTGTGCATGTAATGTATTATCCCATAAGTAAATAGACAACAAGACATTTAATTTGGGACAGAAAAATTGCTTACAATTTTGATTAATCAAACAATTATAGTATTATTTACTTAAGACGAGAGGGTGAGGGATATATATCGTGAGCTTTATGCCGTATAACAATTATACTTAACAATTATACCTTAGGGACTTATAAATACTATGAAAAGCATTGCTGATATAAAAATAATCTTAAAATTTGATTTATCACTAAATAAAATACTCCTACATTAATAATAATATACTTTATTTTGTATTATTTATGTATATAACTTAACTCCGTACAACGTATGCATATATATTGAGGGGGTAAGGAGGACGAAGTGACGCAGAGATGAAATTGTACAAATTCGCCTTTTTTTCCTGAAATTTGTAATGACATTTTTGGTGGTTTGTGTACGTCCACTTTAACCCATGCAAGTAGGTAATGGCTTTGTCTCTCCCACTAGCAAACCATCCATGTGATCTGGCTTTCTGTAATTTCTGTATGTATATATACATATCACATACACTATACTACTATCATATATATGGCACACCCCACCCCACCCCACCCCACCCCACCCCAGTCTTGTTGTCAAAATCTATCGGTTTCAAAAGTCGTTTTCTCTTTGTTGCTTCTTGCTTCTGCTTCATTCATTATCTCTATAACGTCCTCCTCTCAAAAGTTCCAGTCCTTTTTTTAGGGCTTCCCCAATTATTGACTTCATTTATTTGTTCATATATACCTAATTCTTAGCCACAGACTGATCATTTCGAGCTTTGAAGCACAACAAAAAGTACCCCTCTCTCTCTCTCTATATTCCAATTCTTTGAATACTGAAACTCATAAGGTACACTACTCCTTCCTCCATTTAATCTTGGCCTTTTTCGTGCTTAGATCAAATAATTGTTTGAAAAGATATCTCTCTGTGTTTTTGGATTTTATTCTTGTGCATTATATTCCTAGCTATGATCATTGATCTTTTTATAATTTTATGTCAAAGTTTTTGGTTCTCATCACATTCACGTACGCTCTAGCTCTCTTCCAATAATAAGCTAAGTTTCTCTCTCTTCCTCTCTGCACTCTCTCTATGTGTCTGTCTTTCTTTTCTAATCGAAATCATAAAATACTTTCCTGGGGGTATGTATGAACTTAATTAGTTACCATTTCTTCTGTTCTGAACTTCCAATTTTTTTTAATTAGTTTCCATTTCTTCTGTTTCCTTTTGTTCAGAAACTTTTCATCTCCTCTCTCAACTGGTTTAAATCTTGACCGATAGTACCCAAATGCATACATTTTCAGGTCCTTCTACTGATACATTTGATACTATATACATTCAAATACGGGCAAGCTAATGATATCTGAGCCCTATTAGCCGTATATATGACGAAGTTCTTCAAAAAGGACTTAGCACAGAAAAATAAAATGGAGCAAAGAGGAAATTACAGGGAATTGCGTTTAGTTAGTTAGCTACTCTATCCTTTTGACTTTCTTTGGTTTGGACATGTCTTCATCAACTAGCTAGGTCAACGGAAAGATTTATAGCTTAGGATCATATATATATAAAGACTAGTTTAATCAGAAAATTTTTGTTTTTTGTTAACCCATAGTTTAGTAACGTGACAAATTCAATTAGCCTACGTTAGATTGCCTTTTTCTCCTTTGAATATTTTTGGTGAAGTAATTATGAATCTCATACGTCTGATTATGATGATATCAGTGGAATTAATATCAAAAGGTTGCATGTATGAATTATGATGTAACTACTTAACCTTGAAAAAGTGAACATGGTACAATCACTAGTTATTCTTAATGTAATAATTAATATATCCTCTGAGTGAACATGAGACTTATATTTTTGGATTATTCATTTTTTAATTGATTCAATAATCTAATGCAGTAAAGTTCGTGTGGAGATCCATTTCTTAATTGTCAATCTATGTCGTCGCAACTTAAAATTCTTGAAATGATGTGCAACTGAAATAAGAGGAGCTTCTCCCTGATTTGTCTTTGTTTTTACTAGTTTTTTTCTCTGCCTTGGTTTGTTTTTTAAGGAGTAGTTTTCTATTCTTATCTTAATCACACAGTACCTATTGTACATTTACATTAAAAATATTTCAGTTCACTTGTAGTTACCGGGATTTCAAATAATCTCTTTGAAGTGAATGTTAACCCCAGTGGCGAAGTCAGAAAATTTAATAATGGTGTTCAAATTTTGAATACCCTTTGCCAGTAGACTATGCAAGGATGTTCAAATCCTATTTTTAATCAATAACAAGTAATATTTAACCTTATACGTAGTATAATTTTTCGACAAAGGGTGTTCAGTTGACCACCCTTGGACCAACATAGCTTCGCCCCCGGCTAAACCCGTGTATATTCTCTTAAAGGTGAAGGAGTCCATATAAACTCAACCTAATTTAAAGAATTTGGTTCTTGATATTATCCTTCTATAACCGATTAAACTGCACTAATTAGTAAAAATTTGTTTACTAGATGGATATAAGATAATTTATTTTTACTTTAGTCATTTTGCAGCTATAACCCTACTTCCCATCCCCAACTCCCATCTTTTCCCAACCACTTTTCTGTCTATTCATGTGTAAAAGGTAAATTCCACATTTTCTTTTAGGCAAAAATATGGTTATCAAATGACGCACATCCTAAAATTCCCACTGCATTTATAATAGTTTAATGCTTGTTCTATCATAATTTGTAGTTTCATTACTCTCTATATCCCATTTTAGTGACACTATATTAATGGTGTAATGCACTTAAAGGTACTATACTTGACCAGTATTTATATATTATATAAATAGCAATAAAAGAAAATAGTAAAGTAATAGAGAAGTTTGGCTTGAACATAAAACAACATATCAACTAATTAGATTTGATTAATTAGTTGGCTAGATTATTTCTAGAAACATTTCAAACTTGTATAAAATAATATTATTAATAGGATAGTTGTGGTAAACTACTTCATATCTCAAAATAAAGAATACACTTTGGATTTCATCATTTGACCTAGCAAAATCTACATCCATAGTTGGCAGTCAAGCCAGAGTATATATATTTAGATGATGATAGATATCCTCTTTAACCTTTCTTTCTGGGCATTTTCTTGCTTCTTTTTGCAAGCCTTTTACCAGGATTATTACCAATTGATAGTATAGGTCCTATAGGAGTATATATGTGTTTTCTGAAAGCAAAATCTTTTGGTTATCAGTTGAATTTTGCATGAGCATCTGATTAAGCTTAATGGGCTCACCCAGATTCCTATATATTTTTTGTAAAGTTGAATCATATTTGTTTAAGAACTACCCATTCAATTCTATTTTATGTGACACGTTTCCTTTTTTACTCTATCCTATAAAGAATAACAACTTTTTATACAATTAAATATGATTTTACTTTAAACTTTTTACTTTATTCTTAATTAATGATAAGATTTTATAGCCACTAAAATGTCCATAGCATATTTTAAACCACACTAGTTTCAAAATTACTCTTTCCTTTTTAAACTCCACACCCAGTCAAACACCTCCGCACAAAACATAATAGAAGGAGTACTTATTTTCATCGATGATTTTAATTTACGGAATGGGTCCACCTAACTTAAGTTTACTAGGAGGATTATTTAAGTTGTATACTTTGATAGTATAAATATATTTTGTATTAATTATCATTTAACCTATTATGACAGATTAGTAATAACATTTTTATCATTTTACCAATTAATACGAATAATACTTATCATAGAGATTTACCCGAACTTGTAAGTAACATATTGTATCTAAATATTTTTCAGACGATTAGTGCATGGAACTTAAACTCAATAGTTCAAAAAAAAAAGTGTATATTTACATTTGTGTATATATATATGTAACTATTTGTATAGGTATCCTAACTCTTACATTACTTCTTGACAGCACCATATACCATTTCCACAAGATCAATGGAGGAGCAACAGAAGGAGCTGCACTTTCTACCTAATCATCCAAATGCCGTAGCTTCCTCTTCTTGGCCATTAGATTCTTCAGCAAACTATAATATCCGATCATCAGAATCAACAGAAGCTCCATCGTTGGACCTTCAACTTTCAATTAGCGTAAGACCTATAAAACCACCACCATCAGATCAAGGTGTCCTAATAAGGCCAGTAAATCATCATCAGGATCACTACACCGACGTCCGGTTCGACTCCGGCTACGTTGAGGCACTGAAATGGCAAGCTGCAGAGCAAATCCGGTTGGCTGCAATAGAGAAAGCTTATGCGGAGCGTGTGAGAGAGCTTACTAGACGAGAGATAGAAATGGCTCAGTCAGAATTCGCACGTGCGAGGAGTATGTGGGAGAGAGCTAAAGAGGAAGTTGAAAGGGCAGAAAAGTTGAAAGAGAGAGCAACTCGTACTAATTGCATGGAAGTTACTTGCCAATCTTGCAGTCAAAAATTCCGACCTCATTAATCTATATATGAGGAAAAAATAAATAAATAAATAAATAAAAGATGTTAATTAATGAAGGTACTTTCTAATAAGAGTAAGTAATATAATTTGTGTTTTAAGGGTTTTGGCTGAGGAAAGATAAAAGAGCTGATGGTAAATGATGATGTGTAGAATGCATTCATTTCCTGTGATTGGAACTGCAAAACTTAAGTGGAATAATTGTATAATTCTTTTGTTTTCTGCTCTTATTACATGAACAATTGATTTATAAGTTATGTAGTATCCTGGCCCTGGCAGAATTTGACTATGTATGTATGATATCCTTCCTTTTCTGGAGGTAATGCAGTCTTCATAATATCGGAAACATATGAGAATATTGGGTTATTTGTGTTGTACATAGTTTTGAGCTAAGGTTTCGGCATGTATTTAATTTTGTTTATAATTTTCATCCAAATACCATCAGTACTTTTGCTTTGTTAGCTACTCCGATCCCCCGGTCCCAATTTATGTGATAGTATTTGAACTGACACAGAATTTAAGAAGAAAATGAAGACTTTTAAATTAAATTTATGATCTAAAATAAGTCATAGACATTTGTGTAGCTATAAATTATCTCATTAAGGATAAAATGAAAAGTTTAAAGTTAATCTATTACTAAAAAATATATTATTTGTTTAAGATTAACCAAAAAGGAAAGAATGTCACCAGGGGCAACGCTAGGTTGGCCTAAGGGTAGTCAACTAAATACTTTTCGTCGAAATATTATACTACGTATAAGGTAAAATATTACTTATTATTGATTAAAAAGTAGACTTTAAACTTCCTTGCATAGCTCACTGGCAATTTGAACACCCTTATTGAATTTCCTGGCTTCGCCACTGAATGTCACATTAGGAAATATTTAAAATAAAATACTCCAACGTATCTCATGTTCGTCAACTCACACAATATATATTTGCTAATACATGAGTAATACACTGGTAGCAGTATTTTTAGTTAGTTAATGTAAGTTATGGCAACTAGCCCTTTATCCTACATTCAAGTATATATTAGCATGAGTCATTTGATAAAAGAATGTTGTTTTTCTTCACTTTGTGTGATATGATTTGACTTTGGAGGTCAAAGCACTACATTCTTTTACGATGACGTTTCGCTACGCTTTTCTTGTTTGGTAGATCTAGTTATTATGATAGGTAGTGATGCAATCCCTCGGAATCTCTGTTGATACACACAATCAATTTGAAGGATCAATGGTCCTATTTCACTTTTAACAATTAATCTTTAGTTATTTAATTAAGATTGCGAATGTCATGATTACACTGAGTAACTGATCGATCACGTAAACTAAAAAATAATTTTAAAACCAAAAGGAAAAAAGAGATAAAAATGCAAATCAGTAGAGAGATCAGGGAGAAGCCTTTTTAAACGACGTTCAACACTTCAACACTCCCAGTTGTCTCAAATTACTCCCTCCTGTCCTAGATAAGTGATTTTTTGGCCTTTTTTTATGGTCCAAAATAAGTGATTTTTTCAGATTTCAAGAATGAATTAATTATTTTTTTCATACATTGCCCTTGGAGTAAATAGTGTTAGAGTATGTGATAGGAGTATTTATGTGAGATAGTAAAGGTTAATATGGTCAATTTTATTGCTAATTAATGCTAAAAGATGGATTTCTTAATCTGTGTGAAAACATCCAAAAAAATCACTTATTTTGGACCGGAGGGAGTATTTGTCATTTTAGAAGTTCAAGACAAAATTGATTATTTTTTCTTCTTTTACCCTTAGTAATAATTGTTCTTGAAAATGAAGATAACACACACTATAGAATAAAAATTCAATGAAGAGAGAGTATATTTTATGACATAAATAAGGGTAGAATAGTCCAATCCCTTTCTTAATTAAAATTTTTTAAGGGGCGTGTAAAAGAGAAACATGACACATAATATGAGACGGAAGGAATAGTTATTATATATATATATATATATATATATATATATATATATATATATATATATATATATATATATATATATATATNATATATTAATTATACTATATTAAAAGCACGAATTCCCTTAACAAAATATTGTTCATCTTTTTTACCCTTTAAAATAGAGTTCACACCGAACAAAATAGTCATTCGATTTTTTTCCTAATATTTAGAAATAATTATTTAATAATTTTCCTAATATTTAGAAATATGAATTTAATTAATTTCCTACTATTTAGAAATTATAATTTTAATTAATTCCCACTAGTTATGAATGTTCATTTAATACTTTTTAATATTTAGAACTTTCATTTTTTAATTCCTTTCGGTTCTAGAATTTCAACAACATTCACTTTACATTAGGAAAGTTTTGTTCATGTTCAACTCCATTCATATTTTGGAGTAATAAATTTCTCTTTTTAGGTTAGAAAGATCTTTTTTAGTTAAGAAAATTTTGACATAATAATTCACATTACAGATGTTTCGTTCAATTTCACATTTTGTACTCCTTTTAGGTTTAGTAAAAAAACTACCATTTTGAACTTCTTTTCGATTTAAGAATCTTTATATTTTTAATAAGGTTTTGTTTGTCTATTTGAACTATACTTTGAACTTCTTTTCGATTTATGTTTTGTTTATAGTCTTTCTATTTTCGTAAAATAGGGGCAAAAACTTTCTCTCTCTAGAATGAACTCTTCTCTCAGGTAACACTGAAATGACGAGAAGAACGAAGACTGGAGGGGGAGGGCAACAGCACATGGTGGAAAACTCTAACAATCAATCGAGAAGAACTGGAATTCCACAGACAGCAGATGCAAAGAAGACGAAAAACATCAATGCAATCCAAGAAATTGTGCCATTAAACCTCAGTCAAGGATCATCGACGGTACCAATTGCACATGCAGAACACACAACTGACGTGATGAAGACGCCAGTGAATCTGACAACAACACCGGTGATTAATTCAGGAGGATCCTGGGCGGACAGAGTAGAAGCAGAAAATACAGAGATAAATACAACAAATAAGGTACAATTGAACACGATAACTAATTCATGGAGTAAAAATTGTGGGCATAGCACCAAGTAATGAAGGACTAGACCTAAATAGTGAGATTATAGCAGGGAAAAATGTCAAAATTACAATGGATGATATTAAGGATGAACTCGTGTACTGGAAAACTGCAGTGATCTGTTACGTATTGGGATCTAATCCACCATTGACTGTAATTGACGGTTATTTCAGGAGAATATGGGGAGGATTAGGGATAGACAAAGTTGCACAAATAATCAGAGGAGTATTTCTGATTAGATTCCACACTGTTGAAAGTAGAACTCAGGTCATTGAAAACGGAGTTCAGATGTTTGATAAAAAGCCTGTTGTAGTGAAGCCCTGGGAACCAGATGTGTATGTAAGCAAGGAAAATGTTGATAAAATACCATTGTGGATAAGACTGAAAGGCTTAGATATCAAGTATTGGGGAAGAATGCCTTAACAAAGATAGCTGGATTGATTGGGAAACCACTAAAAGCAGATAGAGCTACTACAAACAAGGAGAGATTAGCTTTTGCAAGAGTTCTCGTGGAGATATCAATAAATCAGCAATATCCTACGCATGTTATTTTTGAGAATGAAGTGGGAAGAATAGTAAAGCAAGAAGTGTACTATGAATGGAAGCCAACACTATGCCCAAATTGTAAAAACTTTGGGCATGAGTCACAAGATTGCAGGAAACTACACAAAGAAGAAGCAGAAACTAGAAGGAAGCAGCTAGAACAGGAGGAGAAAACCCCAGCAGGGCCTATACAGAACAAGGAGAAGATAAATGAAGAAGGCAGAAATAGAGAGCAAGTAACTGAGAAAACAGTAGAAGTGCAGAATAAGGAGAACAAAAGAGATGACAACAAAGAAACAGAGAAAATGGTAGAGAAACAACAGAACAACTCAGTGGCAATAGCAACAAGAAATACATTTGAGGTGCTCAACAAAGGTGGAGACAAAGAGGAAATGAGACAGCACAAAGCTAGTTCTTCTAACCCTAAAGGAGAGCCAGTGGTGAAAGGGCCAAGACATGGGAGGGGTGGGGCAAAGCCCCTGCCCAATGGATAAGCTAGCTAGGATTCTGGATTGTAAGGGGACTAAACAGGCTAGATAAACAGAAAGAAGTACATCTGTTTATGCACAACAGTAGAGCTAGTCTGTTTGGTCTCCTGGAAACAAAGATTAAGAGAAATAAAGCTCATAGAGCTTCTCTTAATCTTTGTGAGGGGTGGTCTTTTACAACAAATCTAGCCCAGCATCCAAAGGGAAGGATTTGGTTACTGTGGAAACCAAGCATCTTTGAGGTAGACATACAAAAAACTACTGATCAGTTAATTCATAGTACAATCATACATAGAGGAACAAGTGAGAAGCTGAATATCACCATGATATATGCATACAATGATATAGTTCTAAGGAGAAATCTATGGAAGGATATAGAAGAAATCTACAAATGCAATAAGGGCCCATGGGCAGTGATGGGGGACTTCAATAATGTGCTAAACACTGATGAAAGAATAGGCAGCAAAGTAATAGTGGCAGAAATAAAGGAGTTTAGACAGTGTGTTGATACATGCTGCCTTCAAGAACTCAAATCTACTGGAGCATTCTACACTTGGAGCAATAAACAAAGTGGTGAAGATAGAGTAATGAGTAGAATAGATAGAGTGCTGGTTAACCTTGAATGGACAACAGTATTACCTTCATCAACTGTTCACTATATGACTGAGGGGCTGTATGATCATAGCCCAGCTATCATTAGTTGGGACAACAGGAAGCAGGGGGAACATGCATTTCAAATACTTCAACATGTGGAGTATGGATCCAGATTTCAAAGAAAAAAGTGGCTGCAAGCTGGAGCAAGGAAATTAAGGGAACAAAAATGTACCAAATAGTGGGGAAGCTGAACAGATTAAAGGGAACATTAAAGCAATTGAACAGAACTAAATTCAGTAACATAGAAGGGAAAGCAGAACAAGCTAAGAAGGAGTTAGAGGAATGCCAGCAACACATACAAAAGAATCCTAGAAATCAAGGTCTTATTGAAAGAGAGCAGCAACTGGCCAGCAACTACAGGAGACTTAAGGAAGCAAGTGACCAATTCCTGAGGCAGAAAAGTAAAGTTCAATGGCTGAAACAAAGTGATAAAAATAATAAGTACTTCCACAGTTACATGAAGGCAAGAAGGAATGCAAACAGGATCCTATCAATCAAGGATTCAAAGGGCAACAGGGTGACAAATGTGGAAGAGATTGCAGGTGTCTTTGTGGAATTCTACTCAAATTTACTAGGAACTATTACAGATAGAAGAGAACATGTGTACAGTCCACTGGTAAGGGAAGGCAAGACAGTAACAGAAGAGCAAAGACTATTTCTGACAGAAAAGTTCACAGAAAAAGAAGTCAAACAAGCTTTGTGGCAAATAGATGGTGAGAAAGCTCGTGGACCAGATGGGTATGGGAGCAAATTCTTTAAAGACAGCTGGGAAATAACAGGCAAAGCACTGAAGGAGGCAGCATTGGAATTTTTTGAATCAGGGAAAATGCTGAAAACTATGAACAGAACAGTCATCACAGTAATACCTAAAAGCAATCATGCAGAGACAGTAGGAGATTTCAGGCCTATTGCATGTTGTAACACAGTTTACAAGGTCATATCCAAAATGCTATGCTACAGACTGAAGATTATCCTACCACACATAATTTCAGCAAACCAAAGTGCTTTTGTAGAAGGGAGAACAATCATGCAGAACATTTTAATATGTCAAGACTTGGTTAGACTGTACAAGAGGAAGGCAACAACAAAAAGCTGCTTGATTAAAATAGATCTCAAGAAGGCTTATGATTCAATAGAGTGGGAGTTTGTGGAAGAAATGCTACATGCACTAAACTTCCCTATGAAGTTCATTAGATGGATCATGGAATGTATATCAACACCACAATATACAGTAGCAATCAATGGAGGACAATATGGAAATATAAAAGGGAAGAGGGGACTAAGACAAGGAGATCCAATATCTCCTATGATCTTTGTTATTTGTATGGAGTACTTTTCAAGGATAATGAAGCATGTAACACAGATGGAGGGATTTAAATTTCACACCAAGTGTAGAAGCCTGCAGCTGAATCATCTATGCTTTGCGGATGATATTCTTCTCTTTTGCAAAGGAGAGATCCAATCAGTGATGCTATTACTAAGGGGACTACAAACATTCTCCAACTCTTCTGGGCTAACTACAATGCAAGGAAGTCAAACATATTTGAAGTGAACATGACATCTAAAGAAGTGGAGGACTTAAGTGAAATAACAGGTTATAGCAGGGGCAGACTACAATTCAAATACCTAGGTGTCCCAATCTCATCAAAGAAGATTTCAAAAATGGATTGTCAGGTGCTAGTAGACAAGATGGCTGCCAGAATAAACAGCTGGGGTACCAGGAATCTATCCTATGCAGGTCGAGTGCAAATGATAAATGCAGTCTTGATGCACATTCATACATACTGGGCTTCAATCTTCATACTACCCAAAGCAGTACTAAAGAGTATTACAGCAATGTGCAGGAATTATTTGTGGGATGGCAAAGTAGAAACAAATAGAGTCCCCCTAGTAGCATGGGACCTGGTGTGTAGACCAAAGCAAGAAGGAGGACTTGGCATAAAGGATTGTGTAACATAGAATGAGGCTGCAATAGGGAAATATGTATGGGATATCACTCAAAAAACTGACTCATTATGGGTCAAGTGGATAAACCATATCTATCTCAAAGATGCAGACTGGTGGTAGTATAAACCAGCAAATGACAGTAGCTGGTATTGGAAGAAAATATGCAACGTTAGAGACAAATTGGCAGCAGGGTATGTAAACAAGAGGTGGCAATCCAGAACAGGAAAATATACAATACAATAGGGATATGAATGGCTGAAAGGGTCTCAAGACAAATGTCAATGGAGACCATGGGTATGGAGTAAACAGAATATGCCAAAACACAGCTTCATCTGCTGGTTGACTATGCAGAAGAAGCTGCTCACAAAAGATAGGCTGGAGAGCAGGGGGATGAGTACATATGGCCTATGTGTACTATGTGGTGATAAACAGGAAACTATAGAACACCTGTTCTATGAATGCCAATTCTCAAGTAGATGTCTTGGCATAATATTGGAATGGCTACAAATCAGAGTTACAAACATGGAGGGACAACTATTATGGAGAAGAGTGGCAAGAAAGATGGTGGGGAAAATAAGCAGAGAGTTTGCATATGCACTCATAGCAGCAACCAACTACTATGTATGGAAAGGTAGGAATGAAGATGTATGGAAGAATTCAGTGACAAGACCACAAACAGTGTGTAATCAAATCAAGGATGAATGCAAGATTAGAATGATAGAGATATTAAACAAGAAAATAAAAGGGAAAGACAGGGACTGGATAGAAGGAATATACCGATAGCTAGGATGGATTGTACAGTTTCACTAAATAGATAAAAGTGTATAGATAGCTACTCTAAAGAGCTCTCCTTGTATTCTTATTGATGTACTGGTTGGGAGAGGAATAAAAAATTTTTTCCACCAAAAAAAATAAGGTTTTGTTTGTCTATTTGAACTATATACAATTAAAATTTATATAAATAATTTTTTATTAGAATTAATATGCGACTACTTCTATAAAAGAAGTAATGATTTTATATTTTTATCATCAAAATTGTGCATTATTCGAGTATATATCAGCTATATATAAAACTAAGAATTTTCAAGTTCTAATTTATTGAGAAAACATTTTTTATATTAGTGGTTGAATTTTAAATTCACCTAATTCTATATTTTTATCATCAAAACTTTGCGTTATTCGAGTAGCCGTCACAAAACTAAAGGTTTCCAAGTTCTATTTTATCGAGCAAAATGTTTTTGTATTAGTTGTTGAATTTTGCTTCATAGAGTAGTTTGAATTTTGCATTCAAAAATATTATTTATGTTATTTTTAAAAGTTTATTCTTAATAATATAAGGGATACGCGCAATGCGCGTACACTAAGACTAGTCTACTAAAAACATATTGATAATAGGTGAATTTGACTATAATCACACCTTAAATAATCACCTTCTTGTGTAGTTTTAATGCTAAAAGTGATGACAAAATGCTCTTATTAGTGCTTTTCATGATTTGTAGGTGATATATGTATAAGGAAGGCTAAGGAGCAGTTTTGGAGTTAAAAGTGATGAAAAAGAGGCCAACTGTGAAATTTCCCAAGTGACCCATGCAAAACAGGCCGAAGATTCAGAATACTGGATCCACCGCGGTTCCACCGCGACCGCGATGGGAAGCAGCTGCAGAAGATTGAGAATCCGCGAGGGTGTTTGGCCGCGGTTCTACCGCGACCGCGGCAGAACCGCGGCAGGCGCTGAAACTTCGGGGACCAAAGTGTCAATTACAGGATTTTTAGACCTAAAACCTATTTAAAACACTAGACTTCGCCCAAGAGAGGCATGTATTGATTTTTAAGGTTTCTTAGCAAGGAAAACCATTGTGAGAGAATACTCCAAACATCTTTCTTCTTTTCTTTTGATTTTTATGATGAATTCAATCTTAGTTTATTTTCCCATAGCCATGAGTAGCTAAATTCCTTGTCTAAGGCGTTGATGGAACCTATTGGGTGATGAACTTCTTGTTTATGTGAATACAAATTGCTAGTTTAATCTTTATTTGTTCAACTTCGTGTTCGTTGTAGTTAATTGACAGGATCCTCAATTAGCTGTGCCTATTTAGTGTGCATAACTTGGAAAAGAGTGCATATTTAGGGTATTGTTGAACAACACCACTCCTAGATTATTAGAGGAATCTATAATTGCGGGTTTAAAGGCGGGATTAGGAATAACGAAGCCTTGGGTGCAATCTAAATTGAAGTGTGCTAAATAAAGCAAGCTAGTGTATCTCGGGAGAGTGCAATAGTAGATTACTGTGATTACTCGGGAGAGATTTGCGGTAAGATTAGCGTTCATGATTGATAAAGATGTGTGGGTAAATTTGTACGAGCATAAACAGAAGGGATTCCATCAATAGGGGAATTCATTGCCTTAGCTTTGTCCCATAATTGTTTACAACCTTATTAATTTAGTTACAGCCATTTAGTTAATTGCAAGCTAGTTGTTAAAGAACACTCAACTGAGAATTTGAATATTTGGGAAGCTGGTTCTGAAGAATTAGTGGGTCTGAAGATAGTGGTTGATAGGTTAACTCTCTGTGGATTCGACCCTGGGCGTAATACTCGGGTTATATTTGCAACGTCCGCAGAGTCCCTTTTATAAGGCATAGTTGGGCGTGATCAAATTTTGGCGCCGTTGCCGGGGAGTTAACGGAATTATCAATTGCCATTGACAGAAATACAAAGATTCTTATTGTAGTCAGTTTTCTCTCTACCAACTTTTTCATTGAAAATTTGACGGTTGTTGATCTGGGTACACAGGTGCATGCCTAGAAATTCTACGAGGACTGGAGAACTACTTGAAGGACTCTCAGACCCCGAGAAGACATTCCGGGCATTGAATCGTGCAAACAAAAGACTTCAACAATCCCAACAAACACACCAACTCGAAATTGACATGGGCGACATAAACGACCCCAACGGAAACGTCAGGAATGAGCAATTGGCACCTCCTGTGCCTGAGGGTGCACTATATGACTGGGCACAACCCACAGCTGACAATTTGGCCACTGCCATTATAGTGCCCGCAATACAAGCTGAATCGTTCCAGATCACAAATAACATGCTACACTTGTTGCAGAACAAGGGACTCTTTTCTGGGACACAAACAGAAGATCCTCAGCAGCACTTAAAGAACTTCCTGTCTATATGCAAAACCCAAAGGCAACCGAACGTGACTCCGGAAGCAATCAGGCTATTATTGTTCCCATTCTCGGTGACAGGAGCTGCTCAGGTTTGGCTAAACTCGCTTCCCATAAACTCTATAGCAACTTGGGATGAGTTGGTCAAGCAATTTCACAACAAGTTCAATCCGCCCAACAAGACCGCTCAACAAATTGATGAGATTGTGAGCTTGAAACAGAAA